TGTATGTGTGTATGTGTGTATGTGTGTATGTGTGTATGTGTGTATGTGTGTATGTGTGTATGTGTGTATGTGTGTATGTGTGTATGTGTGTATGTGTGTATGTGTGTATGTGTGTATGTGTGTATGTGTGTATGTGTGTATGTGTGTATGTGTGTATGTGTGTATGTGTGTATGTGTGTATGTGTGTATGTGTGTATGTGTGTATGTGTGTATGTGTGTATGTGTGTATGTGTGTATGTGTGTATCTGTGTGTGTGTGTGTGTGTGTGTGTGTGTGTGTATATCTGTGTGTGTGTGTGTATCTGTGTGTGTGTGTCTGTGTGTGTGTGTCTGTGTGTGTGTGTCTGTGTGTGTGTGTGTCTGTGTGTGTGTCTGTGTGTATGTGTGTCTGTGTGTATGTGTGTCTGTGTGTATGTGTGTATGTGTGTCTGTGTGTGTGTGTCTGTGTCTGTGTCTGTGTCTGTGTGTGTGTGTGTGTCTGTGTCTGTGTGTGTGTCTGTGTCTGTGTGTGTGTGTGTCTGTGTGTGTGTGTGTCTGTGTCTGTGTGTGTGTGTCTGTGTCTGTGTGTGTGTCTGTGTGTGTGTGTGTGTGTGTGTGTGTCTGTGTGTGTGTGTGTGTGTCTGTGTGTGTGTGTGTGTGTGTGTCTGTGTGTGTGTGTGTGTCTGTGTGTCTGTGTGTGTGTGTCTGTGTGTGTGTGTGTCTGTGTGTGTGTGTGTCTGTGTGTGTGTGTCTGTGTGTGTGTGTGTCTGTGTGTGTGTGTGTGTGTGTCTGTGTGTGTGTGTGTGTCTATGTGTGTGTGTGTCTGTGTGTGTGTGTGTCTGTGTGTGTGTGTCTGTGTGTGTGTGTGTGTCTGTGTGTGTGTGTCTGTGTGTGTGTGTGTGTGTCTGTGTGTGTGTGTGTGTCTGTGTGTGTGTGTGTGTGTCTGTGTGTGTGTGTCTGTGTGTGTGTGTGTGTGTGTGTCTGTGTGTGTGTGTATCTGTGTGTGTGTGTGTGTGTCTGTGTGTGTGTGTGTGTGTGTCTGTGTGTGTGTCTGTGTGTGTGTCTGTGTGTGTGTGTCTGTGTGTGTGTGTGTCTGTGTGTGTGTGTGTGTGTGTGTGTGTGTGTCTGTGTGTGTGTCTGTGTGTGTGTGTCTGTGTGTGTGTGTGTGTGTGTGTGTGTGTGTGTCTGTGTGTCTGTGTGTGTGTCTGTGTGTGTGTGTCTGTGTGTGTGTCTGTGTGTGTGTGTGTGTGTGTGTGTGTGTGTGTGTGTGTGTGTGTGTGTGTGTGTGTGTGTGTGTGTGTGTGTGTGTGTGTGTGTGTGTGTGTGTGACTTTGAACCTCCACGTTTTCTTTTTTACTTTCCTATCTGTATACAGATATAAGGAAAGTATAGGAATCATGATTTTTTTCGACCTCGAGTTTTCGACGGATTTTTACGTTTTGAGGTCCCCTGAATCCGTTTTGACTATTTTCGCGATGATGTCTGTCTGTCTGTCTGTGTGTGTGTGTGTGTGTGTGTGTGTGTGTGTGTGTGTGTGTGTGTGTGTGTGTGTGTGTGTGTGTGTGTGTGTGTGTGTGTGTGTGTGTGTGTGTGTGTGTGTGTGTGTCTGTGTGTGTGTGTGTCTGTATAACGCATAACTCATGAACCGATACACATAAAAACACCAAATTTTAAACTTAAGCTTTGTTTCAGCGTCCAATGAGCTGATTAGATTTTGGGCAGAGTCGGAACATCTGGGGGGTACTTTATGGGTGGTCATTTTTATATGTTATGGAATATATCTGTTATTTACGTTTGGAGAAGAAAATTCTTCAAATAAAAGTTACTTCTAATATAATTATCTATAATTTTTGTTTTATGCAAAATTTTCCTAAAATGGTCCGTATTCGAGAAATTTGACAAAATGTAAAAAAAATAATTTTTTATAAAAATTGTTCAATTAAAAGTTGTTTGTAATATAATTTTCTATAATTTTTGTCCTATACATAATTTCTCTAAAATGGACCGTATTCGAGATATTTGAGAAAATGTGTAAATTTCGAAATTTGAAGAAAACTCAAAAACGGATAAAGGAAAAAACATTAAATTTTAAACTTAAGGTTTATTTCGGCCTGACGTGAAATGATTAGATTTTGGACAAAGTTGGAACATCTGGGGGGGTACTTTATGGGAGGCCGTTTTTATATTTTATGGAATATATCTGTTATTTATGTTTGGAGAAGAAAATTGTTCAAATAAAAGTTACTTCTAATATTATTATCTATAATTTTTGTTCTATGTCAAAATTTCCTGAAATGGTCCGTATTCGAGAAATTTGACAAAATGTGCAAAATTCTGATTTTTATGAAAATTGTTGAACTAAAAGTTGTTTGCGATATCGATTTCTATAATTTTTGTTTATATATGATTTTTCTAAAATGGACCGTAATGGAAAAGTGCTAAATTTAAATTTTTCTGTATTTTCGTTTTCAATGAATATCTATAGAAAAATGTTTCGAGGTAGATGTATGTGGAAAATGTATATATTTAGTTTATCCTCTAAACATTTATAGAGATGCTGCAATAGGTTGTACAAAATAACCGGAAAATGCCTATAATAACTAGATAGGAAAGTCATGTGTTGGACACATCAGATTTTTTATTTTAGGTAAACTGTCGCATGGTGTAACCATTCAAAGAGTTCTTGAAGATGTTAGAGAAGGTGCATGCACTGAATCTCTTGAAATAATTCATTTACTGGAAAGAAAGGATCTCCACAATATAAAGAGGGACTTTTCCATTGGATATTCAACAAGAAGACATGAAAATGATGCTGTGAGTGAGTTTGGGTAGAAACCATGAATACACTAGAAGAAAGTCCAGTGCTGTATTACAAAGAACAAAGGTGATACATTTTTTGCAAAGGATGATTTTATTTTAATAATCATGAATGACTTTCAAGCTAAACTTGTATCCACATTAGGCAAATCAAAAATTTGCATTGATGAAACACATGGTTTAAATAACTATGGCTTTCAGTTATACACGGTTATGGTAGTAGATGAGTTCGGTTCTGGTGTACCAGGTGCTTTTTGTATTTCAAACCGAGCTGACTTAGCATTGTTTCAGTTGTACTTTCAGTGCATTAAGGATAGAGTTGGTATAATTGAATCTGACACATTTATGTCTGATGATTATCCTGCATTTTATAATGCCTGGGAATCAATTATGACCCCTGTTGTAAATAAATTGATGTGCACTTGGCACATAAAAAAAAATTGGATGCAAAATTCCAAGAAAAAAAAATTAGTTTTAAAAACTTTAAACGTTTTACATAAGGAACTTGATGTAGATACTTTTTTAACGGGAATGGTCCAGATACATTTGAATTTGGAAAATATTTTTGCAATACTTATGCAATAAGAACAAATATGTGGGCTTATTGTTACAGAAAGCATATTGGTATTAACACTAATATGTATTTAGAGTCATTACATAAAATAATCAAACATATTTACCTGGAGGGACAAAACGATAAATGCGTTAATAAATCTCATGAGGGACAAAATGTTTGATAGAATCATCAAATTTTCAAAACACAAGACAACAGGAAAGATACAAAAAATAAAAAACAGTCATAAAGAATCTCTAAATATGTTAGATAATTTAATTAGAGCATCATCAAACTCATCTAAGGAATGGATGGTACAATCATCTAACGATTCTGCTCATGATTATGTCATAGAAAAAATAACTGATGATTGTAAATACATATTTTGCTATATATTATGCTGAACGCCCATCACAATGGGCACATTACTATAGAAAACGCTTTCAGAAAAATACGAACTTGTCGCTTGAAAAATAGCACCAGGAACTCAAATACAACTTTTCTGTTGGAGGAAAGTGTCAGAAATGATTGGATTTAGGAATAAATGTGGTAAAATGTTTACGTACAAAGTTTTTAAAAAGACTGGTTTTAATTTGCCGTAACAGTGTACCTCATAAACTTTGTGAACTTCAAAAAAGACACAAAATGGCTAGTGAAATTGCAGATGAAGTGGACACCTTTGAAGATTTTTTAATTCTAAATAGCAAGAGGCTTCATCAAGAAATAAATTTTCAATAGTGTTACTTGAATTTTACACTTTTACAATAAATGAAGAAGAAAGCCATAACTGTAACTTTATGTGTAGCGTTAGGGTGGCCCTTAGTTACTCTTGGTAAAAAAAAAGAATTATTTTTTTTGCGCTACCTCCCCGTTTGGTGCTATTAGATGAAAAAAAATATCTGTGCAAAATTTCAGCTCTATCTGACAAAGGGAAAGGGTGCCCCAAGAGCCTTGAAAATCGAAAATATCTGTTTTATTTCTTGTGTTGAGAAATATTAATTACATGCAAAAAAGTATTATACAAAAGTTCTAGATCTATAAAAAAATACATTTTTGGATCTAGCACTGAAAATCACTTCTTTTGCTACAAATCCACGCTCTGTAACACAGAACGAAAGTCTATAAATCAACAATAAAAGCTTTACCAAAGCGGGTTGTGACAAACCAAATAAAAAAGAGGGGATAAGGCAACGTGTGGTGGCTCAAAGTTGTCTCAACAGGTCGAGAGTCAGTTCTCTACTGGAATTTTGCTGAGTGAGAGCAAGTTTTCACGTCACGATGTGTTCTACTTCTACTCGTTTACGTGAAAAAAATTATTTACTCGGGCATTACTCGCATAATATAACTGGTTGTATATTGCCATCAAATAAACAGGTATTAAGTGTATTATTTTTTAATCTTCGGGTAGTGAAGTTAACTTTACGTGAAAGCGCCAGACTAGTTTTAAAAGAAGTGCTAATTTTTTTGGGAAAAGGCACGAATTCCATCTCAGGAGATGAGAAACTGTATACCAAAATTAGAAACTATGTACCAAGAATGGAGAAAACTTCAAAAACACTCTGGAAGACTATCGAAGACTGAGAAAAAAAGAAGAAAAGTTTATATCGAAACTCGATGATCTTTTTGACATTGCACATGCTAACGCTTTGAACATGATTTCTATTGAAGAAGATAAACAATTTTTAATTAATCAAAGGAAAAAGGGACGGCCAGGATTTATGTACGGAATCGATCTCAAGGAATTTAAAATAACAACAAAAAGAAAAACAAGAATTATGGAACGAAGAGAGGCAGACGTGATGAGAAAAGAGCAAAGCGATCGTGAAGTTGAACAAATGAGTAAGTATGCAAAATTTAATTATATTCCATACAGGAAATTTTTGCTTGTTATTGTTAATTTTTTTGATTTTATATCAATAAATCTCTTTTGTTTTTAAGTGCAAACTGCCGAATTGGTCTCAACCTCAAGCAGCATTTTAGAATCAGATGTGAGTGTAGTACCAGTTGCTGGAACATCCACTGCTAATATTGTGATAGAACATACTTCCCCAGAAGATATGGAATTTGCATCCCTTTTATCAGAATCACCAAGAGCAAAAAGGAAGAGAGGATTTCGTAACATAATGACAACGAAGCTATGTGCGGCTTTAGATAAACGTAAAATTTCTGACAGGGATGCAGTTCATATTCTGATTGCTACAATCGAGGCATTGGATCTTGATGTCCAGGAGTTTATCATAAACAGAAGTTCCATTCATTTTTATAGAGAAAAAATACGCAAAGAGAAGGCATCTAAAATTAAAAAGTACTTCAAAGACACTAAATTACAAGCTGCTGTCGTGCATTGGGATGGTAAATTACTTCCAGCATTAACAGGTAGAGTTCGTTGATAGACTTCCGGTGATTCTTTCTAACGGCGATACCGAGCAACTTCTTGGAGTGCCTGTATTGCAATCTGGAACTGGAAAAGAGCAGGCATCTGTTCGTGAAACTCTCGCTGAATGGGGTCTCCAGGATTATATTAAAGCATTCGTTTTCGATACGACAGCAACGAATACTGGAAGTTTTAGAGGTGCATGCGTTTTAATAGAAAATATGTTAGAAAAAATCTTCTGTATTTTGCTTGTAGACATCACGTGTATGAAATTATTCTTAGAAGCGTTTTCTAAAAAAAGATGGGTAAAACTACAAGTCCGACTGTCTTAATGTTTAAGAAATTTCAAAACGCTTGGCCAAAAATCAATGTTTATAATTTCCGATCTGGGATTGAAAACGAAAAGGTCGCGAGAAACTTGAATCAGGGCGATATATCTCGAATTCTTGACTTTGTTAGAAATACTTTAGGCGAACAGCAGCCTAGAGAGGATTATAGGGAACTTTTAGAATTAATCGTTATTTTTCTTGGCGAAACACCCCCCCCCTCGTGGAATATCTTTTCGTGTTCTCGAAGCCTTCCATCATGCGAGGTGGATGGCAAAAGCTATTTATTGCTTAAAAATCTTTCTCTTTCGTGATGAATTTTTATTATTAGAAACAGAACAAAATGCTCTTTGTGATATTTGTATTTTTATTGTGAGTGTGTATATCGAAGCATGGTTTTGTGCGCCTTCTGCTGCCAAAGCACCATATCAAGATTTCACGGTTCTTTCAAAACTTTTTGCATATCAAGCTATCGATCGTGATATCTCTCAAGTTGCTTTACAAAAACTAAGCAATCATTTATGGTATTTAAGCCCTGAAGTTGTCGCATTAGCTTTCTTTGATCCAAATGTGCCATTTGAATCGAAAATAAAAATGGTCAATGCTTTAAATCGCGAAACAGAATTATTAATCAAAAATGAGAAGCGAATACAAATACAAATCGATGAAATCCCACCAATTATCAACGACAGAATTGAACAATTCGTTACCTCCGAAACTAGAGAATTTTTCAAAAGATTTGAATTGGATGATGAATTCCTTATGACAGATCCGTTGACGTGGCATCAAAATGAATGTTTTGTAAAAGGTCTGGAATTAGTGAATAAATTGAAAGTTGTAAATGATTCGGCTGAGAGAGGGGTGTGAAGTTTATGGAAGATTATAATAAATTATTTACGAAAAACGAACAACAAAAACAGTAGGGGAGCGCGGTGAGGGTCTGGACGACGGGAGGGTATGGACACTTCAAAATTTCCTGGTCATAATACACGTGCATTATCTGTGTAGCGTCAAAACATTTGATTTTTAGTCGAGTTAGTACTCGACTAGACGCCGTACGAATCACATTTCGCGTTTGACTTTAATAAACATTTTTTGATTTGGGAGTGTTGGGACCTATTATTTGTGTGCAAGAATATAAAGGATATTTTGATTCCAGCTTGTTATTAATTATTTATTTTGTGGCCACACCTTAAGGTAAGTCTATAGGTCATATTGATATATTGTTCATATTTGATTTAATAAACATTTTGTAATACAAATAATTTTTTGTCAATGTGTTCTTGAGGGAGGGTCAGGACAGTTGTCCAGACCGTCCCGTATGTGTCCAGAGAGTCCCACTTCTATCAATGGTTATGTGTTATTTTTCAGAAACATGCCTAGGAAGTACCGAAGGGTGACAGACAGATCTTTTCCTGCGGAAAATATGAAAAATGCCACAGAAGATGTTTTGTTGGGACGACTGTCTGTAAGACAGAGTGCAATTCAACATAATGTTCGAAAATCAACTTTAGCAGTTTATGTTAAGAAAAGCAGGGAAAGCGGAATAGAAAATGTAAAATTTTCTCCACAATATGTAACAACACAAGTGTTTTCAGATGAGTTAGAATCCGCAATGGCTAATTACCTTAGAAATTGCTCAAACATGTACCATGGCTTAACGCCTAAATCTACGAGACGGTTAGCTTACGAGTTTGCTAAAAAAAATAAAGTCAAAACCCCACCTGCATGGGAAAAAAATCATCAGGCTGGACGAGATTGGTTTACTGGCTTTTTATCCCGCCAGCCTAATTTATCTTTAAGAACGCCGGAAGCAACCAGTTTAGCTAGAATATCAAGCTTCAATCCAACCACTGTAGGTGACTTTCAGAACAAATTAGAATCTGTTTTAAAACGACACCAGTTTTTGGCATCTGATATTTATAATTTGGATGAAACTGGTGTTACTACAGTCCAGAAAGTACAAAAGATAATTGCGACAAAAGGGCAGCACCAAGTGGGTCAAGTTACCTCTCGGGAGAGGGGCGAGTTAGTAACACAAGTTGGAATCATTGCAGCAAACGGTACAACTCTGCCGCCAGTCTGGATATTCCCCCGAAAAAAATACGACCCACATAGAATGTTAAAAAATGTTCCTGCAGAATACGGTGCCATAAGCTTGGTGCATCAGAGCGGATGGATGACAAGTGACAATTTTCTTAAAGTTTTAGAACATTTTGTTAAACACGTTCGATGTTCTGCTGAACATAATGTCGTTCTTATCATGGATAATCACGAATCGCACCTGTCAGTCGCTGGGATAGATTACTGTAAAGAAAATGGAATAATAATTTTAACGTTGCCTCCCCACACGTCTGATCATTTACAACCTTTAGATAAAGCAGTATTCGGACCTTTTAAGCGATTCTTTAATCAGGGAGCTGACGAGTGGATGCTTTCTCATCCTGGACAAACCCTATCAATATACGACCTTCCAGCAATATGTTGTAAAGCATGGGACAGAGGTGCCACTCCAAGTAATATTAAATCTGGCTTTAGATGTACAGGGATATGGCCATTTGACAAGAACATATTTACTGAACAAGATTTCCTATGTTCTTATGTAACTGATAGACCTGTATCTACATCGGCATCCAATGACATACCAGTTACGAATTTGTCACCAAAAGCTGCTTCCTCCGAAGAAGTTGAAGCTAAAGCTTTGTTATATCCAAAAGCGGGTCCATCTACTGCACCAGACGACGAAAGTTATGTTTCACCTTCAAAAATTTTGCCATATCCAAAAGCACCCCAAAGGAAGTCCCCTACTGTGGCTAATAGAGGTCCTTTCCGAAAAAAATCAATCATTGCTACAGACACACCGGAACGAGATAATATTGCAAAAAAGAAAATGAAGATAACAAAGCCAAAGATTGATAAAAATAAAGTAAAACAGGTTAAGAAAAAGGTGTTTGTAGAATCATCTTCTTCAAGTGACGAAGAATTAAGTTATCAGGACTCATCCTCTGAACTGGAACCAGAGATTGAAGAAGAATCTGAAAACACTGAGAATCTTGAGGTCGGACATTTTCTAATTTGCAAAGTTTATGGTAAAAAGTCTGTAAGACAATTTGTAGCCAGAGTAGAAGAAGTAGTGTTTGGAGGCTACAATGTAAAGTTTTTAAAAAAACAGTTAGCTTCTAACAGATTTAAATATTCCGAAGAGCCTACATCTTTCGTTCCGTTTAATGATATTGTAGTGCAGCTGCCAAATCCTATAGCTGATAGGAGCTCTAGATACAAAGACATGATTTATTTTAATCGGGATTTAACAGAATACAGTGTTTTTTAATAATATTAATCTGGATTTAACAATACAAATTTTTAAATTTTGATTTAATTGATTTTTTTTTACTTAAACTTGATTTAATATTTTTTACTGTTTCAAATATGTTCGAATGCTCAGAATTATTTATTTTTTGTATTATTCTATAATACCTTCCTAAGTTACTCATTATTGGTATGATTTTAATACAAATATAATGCTTATTTAGTACTGATATTATTAATTTATTTATGTCCATACCGTCCCCACCAGTGGGTAGGGTCTGGACACTCTGCATATAACCACTAAATGGGTTACTATATGTTTTAATATGATTGAATTTATTTGATTAATGCCTTAATTGTACAATACTAATGTATCAATTTGTTAATGGGTCAATTCGTTTACTAAACACAATTTTAAAATTTTTAGATAAATTAAAAAAAAAAGTGTCCAGACCCTCACCGCGCTCCCCTATGTGCTTCATATTGTAAGTGATTAGCCGAAAATTTCCAGGCTATAAAAAAGAGACTTTATCTCTGCCTCAAGATTTGTACTAAAAAAAACATTTTTACATTTTTTTTATAGGTTTCCAACTTTTATGTAACACTTTTTTGCATATAATTAATATTTAACAAGATAAATAAATAAAATGGATATTTATCTGTTTTTCTATGATTTTTCGATTTTCAAGGTCCTTGGGGCATGGCTTTCCTTTTATCCGATTGATCTCAAATTTAAGACAATTTTTTTCTTCATGCAATGGCACCAAACTGTGGGGTAGCGCAAAGAAAATTCAAACTTTGAAAAATAAGGGCCACCCTAGTGTAGCGTGTATTCATTAACTTACTTGTACCTGTCACAATTATTCAATTCAGTTTAACATGTGCAAACACATACATTTAGTACGAATAAAGTATCCAAGATCAAATTTCCTAAATCAAAATGTAGTTACAAATAAAAGTAAATAATTTATTGAAGATAATATTATTATATATATTAATAATAATAATAATAATAATAATAATATTGAGGAGCTGGATATAGTTTACAAAGAATTACAGGAACATCAAAAAAATAGACATGTACTGGGAAAAAGTAAGGAACTTTTCAAAAATAAAATAGCTTCCTTAACCCTTGCTGTAGATCAATGTCAAAGCGTTGACGTTATGACTCATGTAAATGAAAATTTAACCAGTCTCTTGTCAAGCACACGTTTTATCTAAATCCCACTAACATCGAATGACCCCTGTGGAAATAAAAGCATCAAACAAAAATATTGAACATCAATTACGATCATTTGATGAGATGAAACGCAAGAAGAAAGGCGCACTTCTCATAACTTGTAAATAAATAATAATATGTGTTGTTTAAGTTTGAATTAAATTTTAAAAGTGGAATATAAACTTCCTGAAAAATATATTAGTGTACTGTCAGGGACCTGGCAACATCGCGGATTTTTGTGCGGTATTTAGATCCGATGAAGTGTGTGACAAATGACAGAGCGCGGGGACATTCTAACCCTAGAGTCCAGAGCTTGATGGGCATGGTCTTTTGTTAATTATTGATAATTTGATAACCAGTTTAAATACAGGTTCATCGCGATTGCTAACTGCTACTAAAAAAAGGTATGAACAAACTGAGCGAGAAGCCCTTGCGCTGACATGGGCGTGTGACAAGTTTCAGGAATATGTAACAGGTATTCCTATATTGCTAGAAACGAATCATAAGTCGCTAGTACAAATTTTACAAACAAAACCCTTGGATGAATTAACGCCTAGGTTACAAATATTTCGAATGAGACTTATGAAGTACGACTATAAGGTTTATTATAGTCCCGGTAAAGATCTAGTAGTAGCCGATGCTTTATCTAGTAATTTTTTTAGAAAACTCGGTGGCACCTCTAGAGGATGAATTAGCAGACGAGATTAAAGCACATATAAACCTTATAACTACCTCACTTGCGATCAAACCACAGTTCTTAGATCTCATAAGAAAAGAACAAGAGACCGATGCGGTCTGTAAAAAATTAAAAGAATATTCCTCAGTAGGGTGGCCAAATAAAAATAAGATCGAACTCGAATTAATCCCTTATTATCAATATAGAGCAGATATATCTTTTTGCGAAGGAGTTCTTTTAAGAAACTCAAGAATAATTATTCCAAGTTCCTTGCAGAAACAATGCCTGGAGTTTATACACGAAGGCACCAAGGTATAGTGAAGTGTAGGGCAAGAGCGAAAACCACAATATGGTGGTTAGGGTTATCTACTCAAATAGAAAATATTGTTCACAACTGCCCAAATCGCATAGAACTAATCCAAAGGAACCCCTATATGGGTAGAACCATTTCCTGAGCGTCCCTGGGAAAAAATAGCCGCTGACCTTTTTAAAAATGATTCCTGGTACCTTATAGTAACCGATTATTTTTCAAGATACTTTGAGATATTTAAACTTCGTAACTTAACAGAATTTTCCATAATAACTAAGTTAAAAGAAGTCTTAGCAAGGTATGGAATCCCAGATGTGGTAAGGTTTGATAATGGGCCACAATTTCAGTCTTTT